GCTTCCAGTAAACCACAAAAGTTGGACTGCAAAACTCGAAGATTTTAGGTAGTTTTTAATATATTTATTACAATTTCTACTTTTTCGTTTTAACTACTTAAACATGTAATTTCGATATGAGGACATTTGTAAAAATATTACAAAAATTTTGTGTATTTTGAAAACTAACCCATATTTCTAAAAATTTGAAAACTAAGTTTATTGGCAATTAAGATTATCAAATATATAAAGTTTTTTTTTTAAATCAAGTTGTGTTATCACTGGATAATTAATTCTATTATAAAATAATTTACAAAATTAAAAATATCATTTCACCTGATTTATACATAAAATATACAACCATAAAAAATTACATAACTCACAAAATTAAAAATGGTGGATTGCATAAAATTTATGGTTCGCGTTCAAGTAATATAATGTTAGTTTATTTGATTTACCTTCTCAAAAATAGTTGATTATAGAAAAATTAAGTTGGCAATTTTTTTTTGCCTACAAAAGTTCTTATATTTTGCACTATAATAATTGATTGAAAGATTTATTTTAACGATCTAGTATAAGACATTTCTTATGTTATTTACATGTGTTGAGAGGGAGTTATACATTACCATCTCAAATTGTACATTACTACCTCAATTTGAGATATAACATTGTTATATTTTGCTATAAAATTATATTTTACAGGTTTGATTGAAATTCGATTTTCCGTTTATATTATATTTTAATCTTTTGCAGTTAATTAAAGTAACAACAAAAATGGCTATTTAGTTGGTGTAGTTTGGCTACATTTAAAGTAGTAATTGTCTACAATTTATCCAATTTTGTTTAAAATTATACTTTTTGTAATTATAAATTATCAAATTTTATGGAGATATTATTGTCTTTTACTTTTAAAAAGGTTAGTTTTCAAAATCTTGAAAACATGGGTTAGTTTTCAAATTACATATTTTTTTTTGGATTATCAAACCAAACCTCCCTTTGGATATCCATACGGTATTTATATACAAACTTTTTCCATATCCATAACAACTGATTTGAAATACAATGTAGATCAAATAATTTTGCAAATAATTTGTAAAACATACAATAGTTTACAAAAGCCAGCGGGTAACATAAATTGTCCAGGAGGCTAAGTCGCGGCTAACAGAAATTGCTCCAGAGATTAAACCGACGTACTACCAAATCCTCGGATTATAAGCTGACAGATTACAAAATTTTAAGAGACTTAGCTCTGCGAAAAAAGCCAAAGATAAAGCCAAAAAACATCAAAGATAACTCGTTTTAAAATAAACGGTTCTCCATGAGAATCCTCTATATATTAATTGTGGAGACACTAAGTGAAAAAAAATCTTATGCGTCACTCAATGAAGATTTTAAGGGACACATCAATTAAATTAGTCAATCAAAACATTCCAATTAATTTTATATGCCATGTTGGAAATATCTACATTTATATTATTTTTTAACATGAACTCACAAATGCATATGTTACTAATTTAAATTTAACTAAAATATAATATTTTAAATGTTATATAAAATAATAATTTAAGTATGAATCATGTACCAATGTCAATTACTTTATAAAAATTGTATTTAACCATTTGGATACAATATGTTATTGATCATACAA